CAACACGCTAGTTATTAATACGGCACGAAGCTGCAGGCAGGTTTCGCAAGTGTTTCCCAGCAGGACCGCAGAGCTAACCTGCATCGTGCCCTGCTGCCTGCTACCTGGGAAAAGCCAGCTCGGCCACTGCAGGAAAGGGAGAGGTGGGGACGTGTCGCACCTGTCCCCTCACTCTGGTCTCAGTGCCCAGCTCCAGCTCTTCTCAGGATACATTCTTTAATTTCAGAGCATCCTAACCTGAATAAACCCCCATTTGCCTTCCTTAGGTATTTCAAGAAGCAACATCTTCCAAGAAAATGAGCAACTTTCACTTTAGTTTTCCATGTGAAATAGAATTTCATACTCACATTTTCATTTTATTTACCTGTCAGCTATAGGTATGGATATGGAGAGACCTGTTTCTTTTTTTTTTCTAGAGGGGTGTATGCTCACCAGAGACAGAGACACAGAGAGAGGGAGAGGATCCCCATGGGGAATGGCCACATGCAATCCCTTCTCCATTTGTCTCTCCTATCAAGACTGTGGGCATGCACGCACACACCCTGCAAGCTTTTTAAGCCACCAAGCCGAGGATTTGAACTGTGCAGTCTGCCATGTGGGATCCAGTTGCCCCAACCACCAGGCACCGAGCTGATCCCAAATCTATTTCTGTGCTCTAGAAATCATGACAGGTTCACGTGTCTGCACCGTGAGGCAAGCCTGATGACCGTCCTCGGGGCTCAGCCCAGGGAGCTTGCAGGGGCAGGGAAGGAGGACAGCCCTGGATTGATGCAGGGCAGGCAGGGCCATCTGATGAGAGTGATGTTGCGTTTTCAAGAGTAAACATCTGCAGATGGTCAAACTGACACCTCACTTACTATGACGGCTGGAATTGCCCTAGGAGTTGCACATGACTGGCTGTTAGCCCGTTAGCTCCCAAAGGAAGAGCAAAGAGGTCTTTTCATAGCCAATCTAACTTCACTCACGGGCTCAGGACACGCGACACGTGAATATGAACAAACGAGGGCCTGCGGACAGGAACCCGGGCTGGACGGAGAAGGGCCCTGCAGACCTGTCACTGCCCTGGCTGGGAGGATGCAGCGAGAGGAAGAGGTAAGTAGTGCAGGGTGTGGAGGGGGAGCCACGAGCAGGCCAGGGTGAGGACCACAGCGCTGCTCCCACCCGACTTCTTGAATGTCACAGGGCTCCAGGCTCCTCCCGGGTTGGGAACAGCAGAAATCACTACAACCTTGTTTCACAAATACCCACCAATACAGCAGCTAAGGGAAGAGCATTGTTTCTGAGGTCCATGGCACAGACAGGGCTCTGTGGGACCCCAACTGCAAGAACCCCACAACCTCCCAAAGATCCAAAATGGACTGTGCCATTACCTCTGCACCATGTCTGCTACGGAGGACAAGAAGCTGTCCATGCTTCTGGAAAACATCTCTGCTCCCTTCTTAAAAAAGTTAATCTGAAAGATATAATATTTTGGAAATCACCGAGGGCAGGTGATTAATGAATTCATTACAAGTGAGAGGACAACATGGGGCTGCCCTCACCCCCTGGCCCACACACTTGTGTACTTGTCTCCGCCACGTCAGTGCAGGCTGACCTCCAGGTCCTGAGTGCATTTGTAAACCGGGACAGCGACACCTAGCTGTCTTGCTGGAAGGTAGTAATTATCAGCAGTAACGTAAGCTGAGTGCTGGGTACCTGGTACCTGCCCGGGTTTCGACAGCTACTACTGACAGCGATGTGTGAAATGGGTTCTTGAAGCTCTTTCTGAGGGCAGGGTGAGGTCAGATGGACCTTGGAGTCTCGGCACAGCACGAGGTGGGAGCACGACATGGCAGAATCTGCGCACCAGCGAGAAGCCGACAAGCACCTGCCATGGTCCCAGCCTGAGGCGGCAGCCTGGCAGAGCCCCACACCGAGCCCTGCACAGCTGACCCCAGCTGGTGGCTGAGATATGGCAGAGGGGCAACTGGGCCACCGACTCTGAAAGCCTCTCCCTGCCACACACCAAATCAAAGGGGACCATGCATGTAGAGGAGGTGGCAGAGCCTAGGCATCGTGTGGCTGCTTAGCATGGGGAGGGCCCCCTCCACAGTGGGCCGTGATGGGCACATTCCCTGCTCAGGGGAGAGCGGCCCCTATGAGTCCTGAGGGCCACCTGGCTTGAAATAAACTGCACTTGCTGGCTTTTGGCGTACCACTGGAAGAATTCCTTACTTCCTGTGACCCTCTAGAAAGTCTGGGTCCTCAGACTAACCTTGAAGAGCAGAAGTATAGGAAAGAAGAAGGACACCTCCAGACACCTCAAGCGCCCCGCCCTGAAAAGCTCACGCTTCCGCCCTGATGGCCATGGCCGTGAGCAGCTCTGGGTAGCAGCTATCACTGGTCCAGTTCACACACCTGGTCGCTGAGAGGTAATAGCTGGAAGCCCACCACGAGTGAGAGAACACATTCCACGTGGATGGGGCATTCTAGGTGTCACCCCAGCTCCTCTGCCTGATCTGAAAGCTCACTTGCCCTGGGCAGTGGACACAGAAATCGCCTCACCCACTAGGAGGCTGAGAGGCGTCAGCGTGGTTCTGACAGCTTGTGTGTGACAGGTGCTCGGGAAGGTGAGTGTGCTGGGGTCCTCAGTAACACAGGACAAGGAGATGGCCGTGCCTGTCACAGGACAAGGAGGCGGCCGTGACTGTCACAGGACAAGGAGGTGGCCGTGCCTGTGCTATTGCAGGTAATACACGCAAGGGGGGCGTTCTGGCCCAGACCTTTGACATGTACAGAAGTCAACACTGTAGGTGCCACTCTGGAGCCCCCAAATGTCCAATGTCGAGATGATGTTAATCAATCAGTCAATATCCTGAATCTGTCATGTGATCATCCTGCTTCTCTAAAAGTCCAGCACCGGGTGCCTTCTCTCCTCCTCCGCCTCCCTGACTCCTTTGGAATTTATACTCCAGATTCATGTCTTAGCCCTTCAGCTCTTCTGTTAGCTCCTTAGGGCAGAGCCTCACATTACCCCCTAAAAACTCAGTGATTTGATGAAAGGAGGCAAGATTAAGATATAGGTCCCTACAGCCACCGTGCCCTGTCACCACTACACGTGAGTTCACGTCACCTTCTCATAAACCTGCAACAGGCTGCAAACCCTCAGGACTGAATCACGGTTTTTCTGAAACCTGTTTGACAAGGCCAGAGAAGGCAGAAACGGAGCTGACACACCTACACGGTGGATAGTGCCGGGGACCTGAGTGAGTCTCTACTGAGAGTCTGAATGACCAGCAGGAGCACTGCGGCCATCTGACATGTGACCCCAGCTGACAGTGGCAGGAGCTCAGCAGACACTGAGCTCAGAGGGCTGATGGGACTGAAGGAGGGCAAATGCCTCTGAATCACCCCCAAAGAGTCACAGTGGTAAACAACAACCTGCCTGAGGGAAGGAGCTTTAGTTTTCCTAAGGGTATTTTAAACATCTGCAGAGGATAGGACCAGCAGATGGCATAATGGTTACATTGCTGGACTCCCACATGGCCGACTGTGGTTCAAGTCCTGGACCTGATGACTTTAAACTCACCATGGGCACATTTGGATGTGTGCCCAAAATCCCAAGAGAAGAATGGAGGGGAAGGGATCGCAGTGTGAACATCCCCCATGAGGGGTGATTTCTCACTTTCTATCTCTCTGTCTCTGTTGAGCACATGCGCCCTATAGCAAAAGAATCCTCTTAAAACAAAAAAAAAAATCAGGGCCAACAGGTAGAGTGATGGTTAAAGGCACTGGATTCCCATATGACTCAGTGTAGTTCAAGTCCCGGACCTGGCGGTTTGCTTTCTCACTTTCCCTTTCTCTCTCTCTCTCTGGTAAAATTAAAAAAATAATAACAACAATTTTAAAAAAGTAATGGAATTAAATAAATAATTCTTTTTAAATACAGAGGAAGAGACTATTTAGTGTTGTGTTTTGAAATCTGGATGTTTTTCATGTGAAATGAAACATACCATCCCCAATCTCCCAAATGATGCTCCGGACCTATGATGACAGTGCCCTGCTGTCTTCCTAGGCCCGGGGCTGCCAGGTACCATCAGCCGGTACGGTCTCCTCTTCTCCCCTTGTGGCTGGTAGCCCTTACTAAGGAAGTCCAGGCTGAGAGAAGCAGTGGCATCCTTGGCCATGACAGTGAGTGGGACAACTGTTAGCAAACCCACCCTTCAGGCCTATGGGACCCTCCTCTACCCAGCCAAGCTCCACAGCACAGACCAATCAGGACTGGAGCTGACCATCTCGAGACATCAGACTTGGGATCTTCCCTGACCTGGGCCTCTGACTTGGCAAAGCTTACTGCCCTGGTGCAAGGACTGTTGGTGCAGGGAGGGCACACACGACTGGGGCTAATCACTAAGAAGGGTGGGCTGGCATTCTCTCACAAAGCTAGGACACCCCCAGGGCAGAGGTGCAACAGCCAACCACAGGAGAAAGGAGGGCAAGGGAGTGGGAGTGAGTGCATATCTGCGCACACGAGCACCTGAACAAGGAGGCCGACAGCTTCCACGGACCTGCCGAGGATGGCAGCCACAGCTGGATGACACAAGCTTTCGGGCTAATCCAGCTTTACTCAGATGGCACAGAAAGATTATACTGCTCTATTTAAATATTGCCTCTGAAGGCATAAGCTGACTTTAGTGAACACCTCATGTGACGATGTAATAACACACTGAGGCAGTTGAGCTTAGGGATGGAAAGATCCTCTTTTGTTCTCCTTTTCCCTAAAACTTACATTGTGTTTTTTGGAAATATACCTATTTTAAAAATATATTATAAAATAATAGATGCTCATCTATGGGTGTTTTTTTAAGCTGGTGACTTTCCCTGTTGACATTTTCTTTCCTCACAACCTTTCTGTTCCTAGATTGTCAGCTGAGAAGATGCCTGGGTTCATCTCTCATAGGCAAAGTGAGGCTCTGGAGTCAGCAGAGGTCTGGCTGTTGCGGGGCAGGGGTGGGACAAGAAGGTGGTGCCACCAGCTCACATTCAACTCATGCCTGTTCCTGCCACATTCGTGCTGTTTACAGTCGCATCCCTGTCCTTAAACTGGGGCCTCCTGTCAAGACTCCTGAACAGCAGACCATGAACAAGAGAGAAGACGCCAACACCCTCTCCCGAGGACGCTGCACAGCGCTGTACATTTCCCACCTTCCGGATGCCAGCGACAGCCTCAGAGACGTGTCCTCTGGGATAACCCCGCTGCAGGTGACAGGTGACCCCTACAGTACAGAGTGCCAGAGGGATGCACAAAACCTGGGGCTCTAAGCTAGCTCTCACAACCTGGCAGTGCACTTCTTCCAGAAAACTGGACTAGGCCTGGCTTTCACATGGATTACAGACAAACGGCCATGTGGGCTCCTCCCCAGAGGAAGCTCGGGATCCAGTCGTTGGCTCTTCAACAAGCAGCCTCCCAAGGCCAGCAAAGCACAACCCAGCCCAAAGGGACGCTCTCCAAGCGCTGAGCTCAGAAAGTTCTAGGGAGGTTGTGTGTGAGTGTCCGCTGTGAGGAGCTTTGGCTCTCCTAGGTGCCATCTCACCAGTGTGCCAGCACTGGTTTGGGTCTTCCCCCTTGGAGCAGGGCCCGTACCTGGCCGTGGGCAAAGCCCATCATGGGCTCCATCATGGCCACCCGCTTCCTGTACTGCAGTGCATTGAGGGCACAGTAGTACTGGAGGGCCGACAGGTGCTGCTTCCGCCGCGCGGCTGCCACCTCCTTCCCAACTTCAGCTTTCACCTGGTTAAAGAAGAAAGGAAAACCTGATGCTGTCTCATCTGGGGGACACTCTGGGAGAGCATGCAATTTCAAAACAGCTTTGCTTTTTCACTATGCCCATTTTTGTAACAGATACAATAAGGTGCCCATAGGCCCCAGCTCTACTTTTTAGAAAATCCAACTTAGAAAATAGCAATGTCACAACATTTCCGGGCTTGTGAGCTGTGCTGAGAAGCCAGTACTCTCCGCAGCAGAGTAAGGCACTGCCATCCTTCAGGAAATCAACAGGACCGTTTGGATGGAAAGTCACAAACATTACGGTTCATTCATAAGATTGTATTTCGAGGACATAAGTTAGCCCAGGGAAGTCACATGACAGAAGCAAAAAGTTACATGCAAGAAAATGTTCAATATTATCTAAAGAAGCAAGAAACCTAGAAAGCCCATGTTAAAGAATCAGTCAACACCCGGTGCAAGAAGTTCAAGTGACCTGCATGGTATGTGAGTCAAACGGCCATGGCACCAAGCCGAGCCCACATCACTGTGCTATTACAGTCTTACACTGGTCCCAAGGTGCTGTTTCATAGCCAGTTTGCAAAGCCAGAAGAGAGGAACAGAGGTCTGCAAATGAGATCCAGAATAAATAATTTTTTAAAAAATTCTCTTATTTTTTTGCTTTTGTTTTTAGTTCTGTTAGCGAGCATGTATGCTTACCAGAGAGAGTGAGAAAATGAGAAAGCACCCCCTGGAGGGGATGGCCATCCTGCAATCCCTCCTTCTCTATTCTTCCCTGTTCTCGTCTCTGGATTTTGGGCTCGCATACCCATGTGCCTGGCATGCTTTTCAAGATGCTGGGTCTGGGACTCAAACTGCACAGTCATTTAGGATCCATCATCTTAACCATCTCACTACCTGCTGGCCCCAGATTAAATTTTTCTTTTTTTGGAGAGGTTTTTGCTGTAGGGTATGTGCGCTCGCCATACAGACAGAGAGAGACAGAGAGACAGAAAGCGAGAAATCACCCCCCGGGGGGATGGTCACGCCGCAATCCCTTCTCCATTCTCCTCTCGGGATCTTGGGCACACACGCACATGTGCCTGGCGTGAGTTTTAAGCCACCAGGTCCGGGACTCGAACCACGGTCGACTACGTGGGAGTCCAGCGGCATAGCCATTACACTACCTGCTGGCCCCAAATTAAATAATTTTTAAAATCATGTACAGGAACAAAAGTAAAAAAAAATCCTCAAGATACCCTGAAGGCTATGAGTTCATAACAAAAGCTGCTTAAGAATAGCTTATGAGGAAATGCTCAACATCCCTCATCATAAGGGAGATGCAGATTAAAACCACAATGAGATACCACCTAACCCCTGTCAGAATGGCGAAGATTAAAAATACAAAAAGTGATAAGTGTTGGTGGGTTTGTGGTGAAAGGGGAACTCTCTTACACTGTTGATGAGAATGTAAATTGGTCCAGCCACTGTTGAAAACAATATGGAGGTTCCTCAAAGATCTACTAATAGAACTACCATTTGATCCAGCAATGTCACTTCTGGGTATCTATCCAAAGGACAGGAGAGTGCTCAGTCAGAAAAGTGCTTGCACATCAATGTTTATTGCAGCATTATTCACAATTGCTAAGACATGCAACCAACCCAAATGTCTACAAACTGATGAATGGATTGAAAAAGTGTGGCACATATACTCTATGGAATACTATTCAGTCATAAAAAACAACAACAAAAAAAACCCACGACCCTGGCATTTGATAGAAAGTGGTCGAATATAGAAGATTTATTGCTGAGTGAAGCAAACTGGGCTATAAAGAAAGATATTGTATGCATCCACTTAATGTATACTGACTATCTGGACTTTATGGTAGAGATTAAAATATTGGAGGGCATAAAAGCAGTGAAAATAGTTATGGACGCTGAAGACAGTGTGGAAGGGGAGAAGGGAAGAGTATAGAGAAGAAGAGCACAAGAACAAATAGAGAGGTATGACATTAGTGGGACACAGAAATGGTTTATTATCTATTCATGATAACATGTATAGTATTCTCAACTGGGCTGGTCTGAGAAGTATTTTATGTTTAGTAAATTTTCTTTACAAGCCAAATGATGTACAGTAATTGAATGTTTTAAAAAAAATCATGAGAATAAAAATAATAATAATAATCTGAAAAAAAAAAGAAATGCTATTTGATGATGATGTGGCTAGTAATGTCTTTGTCTTGACTGATATGCATGGTAATCATGCTGGAAAAAGAAATATTATACACTGTAAAGATATATGTGCTTAAATATAATATAAAAAATATAATAAGAAAAAGATGGGAATAAAAAAATACTTGAAAAGTAATCATTTTAAAAAGTAGCTTAGGTAGGTGAGTGTCAGTAACACGTGAGGTATCTTACCTTTTCATTCTCCTTTCTTTTAGGGAGCCTGCTGTATTTTGCCATTGAGAGGTCATGCTCTAAAAATAGAGAGAGAGAGACATGTGAACATCCAGAAGGGCAGAGAGGTGAGCACACTCACCCAGCACCTCCTCCCACACACACACACTAACCCACACACAGCACTATCCACACACCAAGGATGGGAAGGGAGATGCCTACCATTGCTGGCGAGTCCAAAAAGATCCTTTAAAGTGCTGACTTCTAGATAAGAGAAAAGGTAACATCTTAGAGCAATGAAAAATAAGACATGCCAACCCTGTGCTCTGTGTCTTCTGAGAAAGTAAGAAACTGTATGTGTGAAGGGAAGGCTCTGCCAGCACACCCGAGTACCTGCTCTCATAGGCCCTGGCCTGATGGCTGGGAATCTTGGTTTATTGTGGCTTGTGGTTTCCACTGTGGCCCACACCCAGGGACCTCGCCTGCCCCTGCAGCCCTTCCTCTTCAGGCAGTGCTTGGAGATCTGTGAGTGGGGTGCTCTGGGGACGTGGGCTGGATGGCATGGTGACTAGGTCCTTTTCATGGAGACCCAGAATATAAACTTCAGCTGACTCTTCATCTCCAAAGTAGTGTTTCAATACACCTTCTTTCAGAACACAGTCACCACTACCTGGAAGTTTCCTGTTGTTAACTTAAACATCTGACTAATTAGTCACCACTGGACAAAGGAATGGGTGCTGGTTTTAATGAAAAGCTTTAACCAGCTGTAACCAGCCAACACCACTACTACCCCCTGTGGGTGCTCTGCTCATCACACACAGACTGGCTCCACAAAGTTCAAGACCAGATGAAGGTTCTTGAGAGCAAGGACTGGCCAGGGTTCAACACTCGGCAACACGGAGACACTGACAAGAAGTGGTACTTTTTACCATTCTAAAAGAATCCACTTTTGCTTTGTCAAATAAAGCAAAGCGCTTTACATCTTCTATGCTGCTTTTATCAATTTGCTTCCAGACTGACTCATTTTAAGATTTCTCTTCATGTTATTCTTTACAAATTTTTTTCTTTGTTCATGGTACAACGTGTGTGCATGCACATGACAGTGGAAATGACAGGCAGAAGGAAAGAGAGGGGAGCACCCTCCCTGGAGTCTGGTCACCCACGATCCCTTCCTCAGTGTTCTAGCCCATCAGATCCTGGGCACTTGTGTGTATGCCCACGTGTTCCGGGGCTGACCAGGCCAGGAATCTGGGCCATGGCTGCCCTGTGGGATCCGGCTTCTCTTGAGCAGCTCATCACTGCTGTGCCGCGGAGCCAGCGCACTTCATGTTATCCTTATTCTTTCTGATATCGAGACTTTCTGCCCTTCCCCCCTGCATCTTTCTTTCTTTCTCTCCATTTTCTACTTCCTGTTGGAGCATAGTTTTATTATTATTTTTTACTTATCAACTTATAATCTCATCCTTAGTATCTTCTGGGTTCTTTCCATTCAGACTGAGTACTTTTGCCAGTCCATAGATGAAAGGCAGCAAAATGCCAGGAAAAATGCCATTGTATAAGCAGAGGGGATGTCAGATTCTGTTTCTGATGTTGACTCACGTGTGAACCAGGTCAAACGCTTCAAATATTTGTCTTTGTGTCATTAGAAATGGATAATTTGATTAACTATTTTCATAAATAATAAGTTTCTCTTTTACTATTAGTAAATTTTATTATCCTTAAAAATAAATAAATAAACCAGGGCCAGTCAGGTGGTAAGCCAGTTAAGGTGGCTAGATCCCACATACCCGACTGCATGGTTTGAGTCCCAGATCCGGTATCTTGAAAAACATGCCAGGTGCATATGCATGCATGCCCATAATCCCAAGAGAAGGATAGAAGAGAAAATATTGTGGTGTGGCCAACCCCACGGGGGTAATTTCTCACTTTCCCTCACTCTCTGTCTCTCTCTGGCAAACACACACACCCCACAGTAAATTTTTTTTTTTTTTAATCACCACCTCAGCAGATACTGGAACCCAGACGTTGGGTCATTGTGGGTCGACAGTGACTGTGGTCACTGATGCTGTCGGGTCCTCTATCTACGACACCTCCCGCACTGACCCGGAAACAGGACCCTGACAGCACAGGTCTCACAGCTGATTATTTTCTAATGGATTTGAAGTGTGTTTTGAGAATGACACCTCCTGTTTTTATTGATTTCATTTAGAGAAAATCTTTTTTAAAATGAGGAGCTCAGTCAGGGCAGGAGAACAGCCTTCGACTACAGTTGGCAGGCTTGGGCTTCGCCTGTGATTATCGACACATGACGCTGAAACATCAAAACCCTGCTCCCTGAGGCTTCTCTTTAACACAAGCGGATTGATTTATTACTTATCTGTTTGAATTTACTGAGCTATCAGACTGACCTTGGGTAGAGTGCATGCCAGTTGGATCACAGCCCCCTGGCCTCGGGTGACATGATCACAGGGGATCTCAAAGTGAAGAGGAGGTTCATATCTAAAAAATTTCCCATAGATTTATTGCATCTTTTCTGCCTAAAAAATTTTAAGGTTATCTGTTTTTAAAGAGGAAGTACTACATTGAACAGATCTTTTAGTACCAAGGTTTAGACTTTTATTGGTCAGCAATTTTTTTCTGTCAGTGTTTTTTTAGAAAATCTCTAATAAATTTTTTTATTGTTGTTGTTGAGAGATTTTTGCTATAGGGCACATGTGCTCACCAGAAAGACAGAGAGAGACAGAGAGACAGCGAGAAATCACCCCCCATGGGGGATGGCCACGCCGCAATCCCTTCTCCTCCATTCTCCTCTCAGGATCCTGGGCACGCACACACACACACGCACACACACGTGCCCAGCGTGAGTTCAAGCCACCAGGTCTAGTACATGAACCATGGTCGACTACATGGGAGTCCAGCAACGTAGCCATTACGCTAACTGCTGGTCCCTCTAATAAATATTTTCAACAAAATAAGAAATAAGAACTAGAAAATTTAGACCCTTTTTCTAACATCAATTAAGTATCTTCAAGGTCATTCTTTTTGATACTCATTTTTTGACTTTCTTGATTTCTAAGAGAGAAAATAATTATCCTAAAGATCTTTTTTTTTTTTTTTTTGGAGGGGCTTTTTGCTATAGGGTGTGTGCGTTTGCCAGAGAGAGAGCCAGAGAAACAGAAAGCCAGAAATCACCCCCTCCAGAGGGGATGGCCATGTGGCAATTCCTTCTCCTCCATTCTCCTCTCAGGATCCTAGGCACACACACACATGCGCTGAGCCTGAGTTTAAACCACTAGGTCCAGGACTCAAACCATGGCCAACTACATAGGAGTCCAGCGATATAGCCACTACACCAACTGCTGGCCCCCTGAGGTTTTATTTTTAGGGCCAGTGGTTAAGGGAGCCAGATCCCACATGGCCAACTACATGGTTTGAGTCCTGGCCCCAGGAGCTTGAGAAACATGCTGAGAAGACAGTGCACACATGTTGAATCCCAACAGGATGGAGGCATGTAACAGAAAGGATTGCAACATGACCACACCCCACTGGAGGGGGCTTTCTCCATCACCGTGTCTCCGTCTCTCTGTCTCTCAATAGTGAGTGCAAAATGGAAAAAAAAATGTTTTATTTTAATTGAAGAACCAAAATTAGTCCAAACACTTAAGCTCCATGAAGTAGCCAGATTCCCTCACTCCCTCAACATGAGTTTCATGAAAACAGGGAGGCTTGTCCATAGCTGCGACCCCACAGCAGCATAGAGATACAGCAAGGCTCCACCTGTCCTTTCTTCTCCGAGGTCCCCCTTTATATTCCAAAGCATCCATAGTTCTCCAAGAGCAGCTGCCTTCACCTGTAATACAGCCTTACCTCCCCTGTCTACCTGGTAGACATCTCGCAAAACCCCCCTTGGCAATCACCTTCGGAAGGAAGCCTTCCTTGGTACCCACAAAGGTAACACACCTTTCAGTGTCCTGTTTCTGTTCCTTGATCATCTCTGTCCTGCTATTCTCATCACATGACATCACAGTAACAGGTATGCACATCTGTCCTCTTTCTAGTTGTGAACGTCTTTAGGTCAGCCAGGAATACAGTGGGGAGTCAGTAAAAGTTTGCGGATTGAACTGCTCAAAGAGAAAGGCACGGGCCCGGCCCTGAGGCACAGCAGTGAAAGCACAGTGCATGGAAAACTGGATCCCACACGGCCAACTGTGTTTCGAATTCCAGCTCCAGTAGCTTGAAAAACATGCTGGGAGCATATGTATGTGTGCCCCAAATCCTGATGGGATGGAGGAGTGGAGGAAAAAGGGGTGCTTTCTCTCCCCCCTTTCTGGCAAGTGCATGTGCCCTTTGGCACTGTGTAAAATAAATAAGTAGTAACGTTTTCAACTGAAAAAAAAAAAAGGGCATTTCTTAACAACCCACATATTTAAAGAAACTGATGTAGTAAAATTATCATTCAGTGAATTAAACAATACTCTGAAGATAAGTGGCACTAAGTTTAGCTACTTTACCTGTGAGGTCTTTCTCGCGAAACTGTATAATAGGTAGAACCATCGTGTCTGCCAACTGTTTAGCCAGCTCGGTATGGAGGACATTCAGCTGAAAGAAAGAGAATTCTATTGAAGAAAACAATAAACCTTATCACCGAGCTGGCTTCACGTCACCAAGGGATCACAATGAACACTTTCATCAGCTAGACTCAGCAGATAAACACTCTCCATAAAGCAGTAAATCACATAGGCCTAGAACTATGGAAGATGTGGGAGTCTCTGAGCCCATGGCTGTTCTCTGTTCACTGCGCAGACTCTGGTTCCGTGTTCTCAACCTGGTCCTGCTCACCTGGAGAATCAGAATAACCAGATGTGCTGGCAGTGAACAGAGCTTACTGCCCATGCCTGACACAGCTCAGCAGTCACCAGGCCACTGTCAGCTCTTCTCTCTCAGCCAGGGATGAAGTCACAGCTGAAGACAAGCCTGCTGAGAACCTGTTAAGCCTGAAACCACAGTCGACTGGGCCCTGGGAATTACTCTGGAGAACAAACACTCCCTACTGATGAGACAACTCAGCCAGGTTTCAGGTCTCTGCCCTTTAGAGAAGGCCCTTTCTAAGAGCAAGATGATGGTATCTGAATATGATCCTCCTCATCAGATTTTTTTTTTAAATGAGAGCAAAAGAGGGAGGAAAGGAAAGAGAGAAAGAAAGAAATGGAAGAGGAGAGAGATCTTTCTGACAGGGTCTCACCAGGTCAGGACCCTCCGGGCCAGCCTCCCAGTCAGCTAGGACTGCAGGCCCTCAGCACACACCTGGCCTGTTCAGGTATCCTGTGAGGCCCCTGCCTTGTGCTCTGATGACCTAGCATTTTGCCACCAGGGCTGAGCCCTTACCAGATAATTTTAACAGCTCTTGTTATTTTCTCCCCTTCTACCGCAAGGACTTAGGACATCCTGTCTTTGTAAATGGTCTAGGAGAAATCAAACCAGCAGCTCCGGCACTGCCGTCTCTGAGCACACCACGCACCACTCTACGTGCTTTACACTGCCTCGTCCTCGCGGCTCTGGGAGCTAGCTTTTCTTTTTTTCTTTTTCCTTTCCCTTCCTTTCCTCTCTTTTTCTTTTCTTTTCTTTTCTTCTCTCTTCTCATCCCCTCCTCCCCTCCCCTCCCTTTCTTTCTTTCTTGAAAGAGATTTTTTTTAGAAGTTTTTGCTATAAGGCACATGCACTTGCCAGAAAGACAGAGAGACAGAGAGAGACAGAGAGCTAGAAAGCACCACCCAGGGGATGGCCACGCCACAATCCCTTCTCCTCCATTCTCTTGGGATCTTGGGGACGCATGCAGACGCACCAGGTGTGAGTTTAAGCCACCGGGCTTGGGACTCGAACTGCGGTCGACTACATGGGAGTCCAGTGACATAGCCATTACGCCAACTGCTGATCCCTTGAGAGAGATTTTTGCTATAGGGCGCATGTACTCGTGGGAGAGACAGAGACAGAGACACAAAGCAAGAAATAACACCCCCCCGGGGGGGAGGGGAATGGTCATGCCACAATCCCGTCTCAACTCAATTTTCCTCTCAGGATCTTGGGCACGCATGCACACGTGCCCAGTCTGAGTTTAAGCTGCCGGGTCTGGTGCTCAAACTGCGGTTGACTATGTGGAAGTCCAGCAATGTAATCATTATGCCATCTGTTGGTTCCGAGTTAGGCATTATTTTAATCTCCATTTTAAAGACAGGCAAATAACTCTCCAAATCCAGACAGGAAACAAACAGCACAGCTAGGATTTGAATCCTGGGTTGTTGGGATCTGCGATTTGTGCTCTGTCCGGCTGTTCTGTGTTCACCGTGCTCTCAACCTGGTCCTGCTCACCTGGAGAATCAGAATATCTGGATGTGCCGGAGGTAGAGTCTGTCCTTCATGCTCACACAGCTGCCTAACTGTCCTGTGGTAGGTAGTCTAGACGTCAGTGGTGAATACAGTGAAAGATCTGCCCTCTAGGTCACAGACTTACAGATACCGTGGTGGCTGTTCAGTGAGTCCTGCTGAGTGACTAAGGAAAAACGACCCAGCCGTCATTTCTGCAGTTTCCTTCAGCAGTGAGAGCGGTCACACAGATATACCATCCGTCTGCGCACAGATCCCCGTCTGGCAGGGCTGGCCCTTCAGCTGTGGCTGCAGAGGCTGCTGTGAGCAGCTTAAAGACTTGCCTGAGGTCAACTGCTGGCCAGGCAAAGGAGGGCTAGGACAAGCTGTTAGTGGTCTTCCTACATCTTTTCTATCCTGCTGGGCCTACGTGAAGACAGCCACGCCAGCAAATGCCATCAGGACAGAAGGTGTTCGCTCCTTTCAGGATAACCTCATTCAGAAATGTACCATCTCTTATAAACAGTTCGCTGAATGACTGTCAACAAGTATGCCTACTATGTGCCTGGCACTGAGCATGATGCTTTCATATCCTTATTAAAGGCAGCTTACTTGGGTGGGTTGTCCTGCTGCTGCCATTTACAGATAAAGAAACCCAAACTCAGAGGGAGAAAGTGGCTTTCTAGTGGTTCTGCACTTCAGGAACTGCAGATGTCCTAGCTACTCATTTTCTGCCTAATTTCTTCCTAAGGAAAAGGGTTTGGGGAGGTGTGGGATAATTGTGGCCACAGAACCCTGGCTGAGGAATATGGAAAGAGCAGATCCCCTGTCCACACTTCATATCACCCTGATGTGGCTAAGACATGTGAGGCTAAGACAGAATGCACAGAAAACACCCAGGGTGGAGTGCCTAACACCTTCGCACTTGGTACTTACTTAATGGAATCTATACTGACAATCAATGGTCCCCAACCTTCTGGGCACCAGAAACTGGCCTTGTGGAAGACAACCCCTCCATGGATGGAGGGTAGGGGGGGTAGGGGTGTGGTGGGGCTGGTCCAAGGATGACCCAAGCGCACCACATCCATTGTGCACTCCATTTCCACCACGACCACATTGCAGCATACAATGAAACAATCACACAATAGGGTTTGCACACCCATGAGGGCCCAATACCTCCACTGATTCAATAGGAGGCAGATCCCAGGAAGCAATGTGAACAATGGGGAGTGGCTATAAACACAGATGAAGGCTCACTGGCTCGCCTGCCCACAGACTTGGAGGGGAGGGGGTGGTAGCAACAGGCTACACACCAGCACCAATCCATGGTCCGATCCCAACAGATAAGCACCAATCCATGACCCATGGGTTGGGGACCCTTGATGACAATGACCTCTTTTCTCAGGTACACTGCAGAGAAATGACCTAGAAACTTGGCTTTTGGGGATATCATCACACCTGGAAGTCTCTGTGTGACTTAGCACATGACAAAGCAGTTTATTAACTGTAAGTCACACACACACACACACACACACTATATTATACATATATATATACACACTTTTAGTTGGCCTTTTCTTTTTTTAAAAAAGAATTATTTTATCTAAGTTCAATTACTTATACATTTATTTTTAATCTGAACAGAGTGAGGTGGGAGTTGGGGGTGAGAAAGCAAGCTGCCAGTTCCGGGACTTGAACTGTGGTCAGCCATGTAGGAATCGAGCTTCCTTTACCACCATACCACCTGCCAGCCGCTGGCCTTTCAATTTCTGAGTCAAACTACTTGTGTTAAAATTTTTTTCAACCTTGTTTAGGCACAAATAGAGAAAAGAACCTCTCCCAGGACTTAGCCTCCTCCTTCCCCAGTTAAGTGCTTCTGTGCTTTCGGGTCTATACGAGAGGCCATACAAACACTCCTCAACCTTGAAGCTCACAGGATGCCCTAATACTATGTACAAAACCAACCTTTCACTCTTGGGAATGATTCACTCCCACTAACAGAATTATCACCCCTGCCTATGAGAGTATGTTTGTGAGTAAACATTCTATATAGGAAATCTTGTTTCTGGGGTTTTGACAGGTAACCTCATTTCCTTAGAAACTCTCTTCTACTCAAAAACGAAGACCAAAAATAAAACACATGGCTTCAGTGGGTGCACATATTGCTTCTCCTGGGTTACTTATTTACTGTTAATTAAGAAAAACTGTTCAAACCGCCTTTCAAAAGTCACTTTTTGCTACTGTGATTACATTTTTTATTTATCCTCCATCCACTTCAACACGTATTTTAGAGAGAACCACTGTGAGTGTGACATTGTGATATAACAAAAGATATATATACTGGGTTGTCAGAGAAAAGTCATGACACATTTTCCATAGAAAAAATACATCATGACTTTTATGAAAACCCAGTATCTGATTTCTGCCCTGAGTTCCCTGCACAGAGATCCTACAACCCTTGTAATTTCCTGATGACTTTTCTAATAAGACTCTTGGTAGGCTCAAGGATCAAGATGATCACCACCAAGACCAAGTCATGATCAGAGGCTTGGAACTTTTAGCCCTACCCATGTCTTCCAGGAAGGGAATCGAGGCTGGAGATGGGGTTAGCAACTGATCATGCCTCCATAAAAATGCCTGACATTGCTAGATGTGCGGAGGTGCTGGGAGGGTGGTGCACAGAGGGTATGGGAGCTCTGAGCCTCTTCCCCCAGATCTTACTCCATGCATCACTTCATCTGCATCCTTTGTAATATTCTTTACAATAAAGGAAAATGTGCTCTCAGTTCTGTATGACAGAGGCCGTAACTGTTTCCCTGAGCTGTGAGCTCTCCTAGTAAATGATCAAACCCCAGAAGGAACTGTGGGGAGCCCCAATTTATAGTCAGTGCCAAGGACCAGGACTTGCAAATGGCTCCCAAAGTATGAGGCAGTCTTGTGGGGCTTAACCTGTGGAATCTGAAGCTATCTCCAGATACTGTCAGAATTGAGGTAAGTTGTAGACGCCCAGCTAGTGTGGGAGAATTGGCTGGTGTGAGAAAATCCATACATTTTGGTAACCAGAAAGGTGCTGGGTGCTGGGAGCAGAGTAGGGGATAATAATCTCTTTTTCCTACTATTCAGGCACAAAGAGAGAAAAGAACTATTTAGAGGGACAGAGGACAATGCATGATAAGCGCTAGATGACTTATGTAATATTATATCTTCAATACCTGGAATAGCATTTGCTAAATAATAAGCTTGTTGAACTGATTTGCCAAATGAATGAAAATGCAATGAGTACAATTTGACGTGACTGTTAGTTTCTCATTTTGTAAAGTGATGACAGCATCTACTACAGGTCAGTAACTGGACAGTAAAATGGAATCTGAGCATTCTTTTTCTTTTACACCTTATCGTGATTTTCTATTCTTTTTTATTATTATTTTATTTAATTTTATGTATTTGTTTTTATTTGACCAGAGAGGGACAGAGTGAGAGTGAGAGTGAGAGAGAGAGGGGAAAAGTGAGAAAGTAAGTCTCCAGGAGGTCCGAGACTTGAACTGTGGTTGGCCATGTGGGAGTCCAGCACCCTTAACCACCATGCCACCTGCTGGCCCCATGATTTTCTATTCTATGTATCTTGAAAGATGGAACTATCTATACCTATCTAATTCTGCAGAGGTTTCTACCCAGCACTAGCTGCATTTGAATTCCTACATTTTTACAATTAGGATTTATGCACTTCCTATAACAATATCTGTTTTTCACAAATATTCCAAATGAATTATATAGCTATATGAATAGCTTAGGAAATTCTTTGTAGTGGGCTGAATATGCCCCTCTCCAAAAGATATATCCACTCAGAATATGTGTATACAGATGTTTCCCCCCAACCTACAATGGATGGTTCAACTTAGGACTTTTTTGGGTTTTTTTTAAGAATTATTTATTTATTTATTTATTATTTTAAAATTTGCTATAGAGCATGCATGCTCTCCAGAGACAGAGAGAAAGAGACAGAGAAAAAAGCAAGCTTCCAGGTCCAGGACTTGAACCACAGTTGGCTGTGTGGGAGTCTAGCACCTTAACCATCACACCACTTGCTGGTCCCCAACTTAGAACTTTCAACTTTATGATGATATGAAAGTGATATTCAGTAAAATCTGTACTTTGAGTACCCATACAACCATTCAGCTTTTTTACTTTCAGTACCGTATTCAATAAATTATATGAGACAGTCAAGTCTTTCCATAAAACAGGCTTTGTGGTAGATGATTTGGCCCAACTGTAGGTGAACATAAATGTCCTGAGCACATTTAAGGCGAGGCTAAGCGATGACATTCTGTAGATCAGAAGTATTAAATGCATTTTCGATGTCTATCAGACATAAGCCCATGAAAGGCCAAGGGGCACCTATATATGGCAAAATGGTCTTTGCAGATATAATAAAGGATGGTGAAATTAGATCATCCTGGATATCCAGATGGACCCTAAATCCAATGACCAGTGTCTTTAAGAGAAGACACAGACAGAAAAGGAAGAACAAGGGGGCCGTGTGGAGCTGGAATCAGATTCCAAAGAACACCCGGAGCACTAAAAGCTGCAAGAGGCAAGGAGGATTCTTTCTTAGAGTCTGGGGAGGATGTGTGGCCCTGCAGACACACTGTGGACTTCAGTCTCCCAGTCTCCAAAACTAGGAGAGAATAACCTCCTGTGGTTTAAAGTCACCTGACTGTGGCAATTTATTATAGTAGTTCTGAAAAACTAAGGAACTGAATTCCTAGAAATCTTTCTCTTTTGGCCTATTATCCATGTGTACCAAAGCCTTTCCTCTCAAATCAGAATCAGATATAATGGTGCACAACCTCTTTTATAAAACGAACCCTGAACAATCAACAAGCTGAGGTATCTTCTCAGACATCTAAAAACTGAAAGTGGGCCAAAATAAAATTGAGAGAAAATTTCAAAAAGAATAAAATAACATTTCCCATGTTGCTATCTTACCTCATCCACCACTTTGGAGAAATAGTGGAGTGTAGAAATGACTTCTTCATCACCTTTGCCAAGAGCAAAATTCTAAAATCAATGAACAGAAAAGCCAGGTGTTAACTGAAGCTCAGGAATTCAGCACCACGATATCACCCACACATCACTACTCTCCATGCTGACTCCCTTCTTCTCCTGAGTGTGCATTATGTCAGAAGTGTTGAACCAAAGAAACCAGAGTTCCCTGCTTCGTCCTATCCAAGGGATGCACTCAACTGCCCCTATCCCTAGCCATTCTTTCAGTCATCACCTTGCTGTGTGAACATAAAGATATCTTTCAGTTTTTATTTCCTGGGACTGTTAGTGTTCATTCACTTGCACTCCCCCAGAGACCATGAACCCTCAAACGCAGCTGATTACTTCTGCAGGCTAATTGGAATATCTCATAAAGACTTTGTGATAGTCACCAGTTAGAATTTATCAGTGGAAGGGAAAAGACAAGACAAAAGAAAAACAACTATTAAAAAAAGGAAGAAAGAAATGAAAAGTCTTTGAAAGAACTCCGCTTCCAGAGTCCTGAGCACAGACAGCATCGTGAGCCTCACAAGTCTCAGTGTACCTGTTTTTCATATGCCAGTAGTTGCTTAGACAGCTGCTGGGTGGCCAGGCACATTTCATTCTGTGGGAGAAGATAAAAGCAAGTAAGATTTGTCCAATGTACATAGTCTCTGCAAAATTCTACGTTAGAGAATTCCTGAAAAAGTAATATGTGTGTACCTGTGAAACCGTAAAATATTTTGTTTAGACATTATGGAAAACAAGAGCAAAATAAATTTAAAAAAAGGTTGTTTTTTTAACCCTTTACAAATTACTGCTCCTTCTGGTCAGTCGGTAAACAAATGTAGTGAGTAATTACAATGTGCCAAACATTCAGCAAAGACATGTCTTTATCTGGCTAATCGGGGGGACAAACCATTACAAGCCTGATGAGCACTGCAAAGCAGAAACACTGGAGGCACTGGAAAGCTCTGACAGGAGGACTAGATGGTCTCTAAGGAAGACATGTTTTAAGCAGAGCTCTAAAGGACTAGCAGTTAGTGATAGGGATGAGCTTTGCAGAAGATGGGGGTCAACATGTGGAAGAAGCACACAGCCTGCCTGAAGAGCTGCAGAGTGGAGCTGAGGCAAGGTGCTGGGCATGGAGACATGCAAGGTTGGCAATGTGGCAGAGCGAGCGGGGCAGGATGCACAGGCTGGATTGGGACTTTACAGGAAGTGCAACATGGGAATCAAAGCAGCACTATGACACCAGATGCTAGCAGACCTGGAGCACTGGTTGGTAACGATGGATGGTAACACAAGCACAGTGAAACCCAGGAGTCCCAGAAAACCGGAGGAAAGCGCTGTACCACCCTGGGAGGCCCACCGTGTGCCCCGATCGCTGACACGAACTGGCCATTTCCTCTCTTACTATTCCTGCAATCGCTGACTACACAGCAGTTTCCTATCACCATGCTCCCACCTCCGAGGCGGATAGCCTAGATAAAGTGTCTTACATTTCTAAAGCTCAGTTCAAGCTTCTCTTTGGATTCAGAGCTTATTCTTAAAACAGGATGGAGCCACTGGGTCTGATCCAGCCTAGCATGGACCACGGGGGTGTGGGTGGGTGGAGGAGGGGGGGATGGCACACCTTCTAGGCCTTGACTTCCAGTTACTTTTTCTTTCTCCCGAGCCTGATGCAGCTTTAAGGCTAAGTCTGTAACTCTGCAGGCATTTTTTTGTTTTTGTTTTTTTAATGGGGGGTAGGGAGTGTTTGTTCTGTGTGTGTGTGTGTGTGTGTGTGTGTGTGTGTGTGTGTGTGTGTGTGTGTGTGTGTGTGTGTGTGTGTGTGTGTGTGTGTGTGTGTGTGTGTGTGTGTGTGTGTGTGTGTGTGTGTGTGTGTGTGTGTGTGTGTGTGTGTGTGTGTGTGTGTATGTGTGTGTGTTCTCCCTTTCTGCAGGACCCATCAGAGCCAAATCCCACTTTTCTGTATTTTAGTCCTTTTTGCAAGTTGCCAACCTGTTCCGACTTCCTCCATATGTCCTAGGGACAGGCATTAACAGACCATGAAATTGTTTTTTTTTTCTTTTCCCCAAATAAAGTCAGGCAAATATAATAAAATGCCTGGCTTTGGGATCCTCCTGGTGTGCAACTCCTTTCAAAACGAACCAGAACCAGCAGCCACCAGAAGCCAAGAAGGCAAGCAAACAGATCTACAAGCACCACATCCCCCAGTTAGACAGGAGCATGTCTCGTGGAGCAGGCACTCAAGTCTGCCAGATGAATTAATAAGTGGATGAATACATGAATGAGAAAACGAAGGAATGAACAAAGATGGCTACAATTCATCTCAATTCCAAGTTCAGAACAATACCTAGAATGATGGCATGAGGGGAAAAAGCTTCCTAACTATACGAGGAAGCGTCATCACAAATGGGCAACGAAATGCAGATGGGAGCAGACGAAGCACTCGACCAGGAGGTACTGCCGGCCGACCGTCAGCAGGGTGTGGTGAAGATCAGAACTCCTGGAACAAAGTTCTTAGCCCTCGTGCTCGGCTGATACTCTGCTGTCCCAGGAAATCCCTCATCCTCCTCTCAGGGGCAGTAGCAGTGGATTTAAGATGGATCATTTACTGCCAGAGCACTAAATTCAGGCCAGACACTGCACTAAATGTATTCCATGCAGTACCTCATTTAATTCTGATCATTCCAGAAGGCAGATTCTAATGAACTCAATTTTACACATAAGAAACTGAAGCAGAGAGGTTAAGGCACCTGTTCAAGGTTACACTGCCAGCGGCAGGGCTAGGATGTGAATCTGGATTTGTATGATTCTAAAATCCATACTCTCAAACCCTGTTCTCTGAGATCCGAAAGTCTACTAAGAAATAAACAGGGAGAGAGCCTGTGCCTTAGACTAGGGTTGGCAAACTTTTTCTGAAAAGAGCCAGACTGTGGGCTGTAGGGCCTCTGCCACAAGTACTTAACTCCCCTTGCTACAGCACAAAAGCCATCAACAACACATACACTAATGAGTGTGGTTTCATTCCAATAAAACTTTATTTACAAAAGAGGCCAGCCCAAGGATCATAGATTGCTGACTTGCTTTAGACATGTAATGTCTCAAATGACCCATTCTTTCACCACACCCTCATCAGGAAGCTCCCCCTTAAGCTACAGGATTTCAGACCCAAGGAACATTTTCTACTCTTCTATTCTATTCTTTATGTTAGCTTACTCTAAAATACTACTCTCCTATATTTGTATATTTCAGAGGTAGGTCAACAGTTATGGTAACAACCTTACCTTCCAGGCTTTTAAAATAAGCTACCTGAATTCTTTTTCAGGCTTACCAGCAGGTGCTCTGAATGTAAAGAGAACAGTCTTGGAGAGCCACCAGTGTCAGAGGCACCGACTAAGGGGGAAGAAGGTCTCCTTACAAGCCAATCACAACTCCACTGTGGCCCAGAGAAGAAGGGCACACACACCCACATAGAAGCTGCGTTCCAGAACTGTGTTTGTGATTACACTCTGCCAGGTCTCCTAGAAATACCACATGGACACACGGTGTGTCTTCATACATGTGATGTTTCTTACTTGGCTGTGAGGCCAAGTAAGAGTCTGCTCTACTGGTAGGACTGCACCAGGAACCAGCCACTCTCACAACGTGGCCTGGCACCTGCCTGGAACAAAGCACATTATTCATCTTACTCACGCTTAATCTACTGTACACAAAGGTTTATGAAATGCTTTACTGACACGAGCTAATTAATCCACACCCTTTGGGGCAAGCCACACAATTATCTCTGCAACAACACTTGCAGATCTGGAGCTCAGGTGAAGGGTAAATATGAGCAACAGCATCAATGAAGACAGCTGCTGGGACCGGCAGGAGGTGTGGTGGTTGAGGTGCTAGATGCCCACATGGCTGACCACAGTTTGAGTCCTGGACCTGGGGGCTTGCTTTCTCACTTTTTCTGTCTCTCTGGTCAAACTGAAAAACAATAATCATAAATAAAGCTAAATTTTGGGACCAGCAATTGGAATAATGGCTATGTCACTGGACTCCCACGTAGTCGACCATGGTTTGAATCCTGGACCCGTTGGCTTAAACTCATGCTGGTCACATGTGCGTGCGCGCCCAAGATCCTGAGAGGAGAATGGAAAAGAAGGGACTGCAGTGTGGCCATTCCCCCGGGGGGTGATTTCTCATTTTCTGTGTCTCTCGTTCTGGCAAGCACACGCACCCTATAGCAAAAACCTCTCAAAAAAAAAAAAAAAAGTTAAATTTAA